AGTACCTAAGAAACATTTATGCCAAGTTTTATCAAGATTGGTCAAACGGTTTTGATTTCTATGTGTAACATACATACATACATGCGCCTTACTTTTTACTTTATAGTATAAGATCAAAGATATTGTATATATAGATTTAAAGAAGACTTACAGGATCCCAGTTTCTCAAGTTCATCCTGGAGTTCTCATCCACTGCAGGGTCATCCTCCTCAGTAAGGTCCAATGCAGTTTTGTCTTTCTCTGGCAATACAATGCTGGACTTGATAGGGAATGACTTGCTTCCATCTCCAGTGATTCCCCCTGGAAAGATATATAATGTTTTCAACTGGTCCCATAGAAGGAAACTAGAGAGTATACTGCACACAAAATATTTTGAATCGTTTTTGGAAATCTTTTTTCTATCTTAACAACAGCTGGCAAATATTCAACTTTGGGCCATCGATAAAAAAAAAAAATAGATTCTTAAAGTTTTTTAGTGGCCATCTTCACCATGAATAGTGACTTTATGAATAGTATTTATATTCAGGGGCATAGCTAGGAATTTTCCATCATTTGGGGGCCCCTGCATTTTGTGTAATATTTAATTTTAAATGTGAAAAACACTTTTTTTAGGGCCCCCTCAAAAAAATTCTCCCCCCCTTCCCCCCACCATTAGTTAATCTGTAAAAAAAATAAATAGAATTTTTAAAGTCTTCCTTAGTTTAACAAAACAAAGTTGTAAATGTTTGTTTGAAATGTGTGTCAAGATGTTCCTTTATTGTGACTCATCCTGAAAGAATTGATTGCTATGAGTCCAGCTTCAACCAAAATCAATACCAAACATTTTAAAAGTGCAGAAATAGAAGCGATTAACATTCAACAAGTGAATTTTAGTGTTGAGCATTTCTTGTAAGGATTTGTTATAAAATGGAAAATGTGTTTTCATTGTATACATAATATCACTATAAGTGTGTGTGTGTGTGTTGGTTTGTGTGTGTGTGTGTAGGTTGTCAGGGAAGTGTGATAACAGGAATCAATATTTCAAACATCCTGTTAACATTAATTTGTAATTTTTAAAGCAATTATTAATGCCAGTTAAGACCATTGATTTTTAAGACTTCAAAGGTTGACAACTAAACCCAAATACATCAAAAAAATGTTCAAAAAAAATTGTTTTGTAATTTGTGTATGTGTGTGCATGTGTGTGTGTTTTATGAATTGATAAGTCACACAGCAAACAGAAAAAAAATGGTTGCTAAGTATCTTCTTCCCCATGACTCCCTTAATCCCCGTCCCAACCTCCCCTCCCCAGCAACAGACACACGAATCTGAAAGGTCATACTTACAAAAGATTTGACACTAAGATCTTCAAGTAAAGGAACAAATGAAATTAAAAGATACATCTGAACAAACTTGTGACAGGACTGAAACCCAAACCCTTTCCCTTCCAACTTTGTTCTCTTGATCAGACACACCTGATAGAAGTGTCAGCCACTTCCAGACAGGAAGTATTAAGGACTAACGTGATGCGCCACACTGAGACAAAACTTTTGCATGTTTCAAATGAATTACTTCAATTGTGTTCTACAGTTATTTTTAGTATGTTGGAAAAGTCACAAACATTTTTTTCCCAATCAGCCAGAAATGTAACCAGCAATTTTCCAATTGATATCAATGAAAGTTTTAATCTCGATTCCTTTTCTGATGAATATATGTTTAATTGCTACTTCAAGGATCAGTTTGAGCTTGAAAGGGAAACAATACTTAATAACAGTTTTAAAAATAGAAATGCTCTATGGATCATAGGCTAGACCTCTCAAGTTAATTTAAATATATTACCCTATCTAGGTAAACCCAAAACACCAAATTAATAGACTCCATGTAAAGTTGGGAAAGAAACAAATATACTTATGTCTCTAAGGCCTTAGACAACTTAATATTCTTTTCTTTTTCTTAAATTCTTGCTTACAGATATATTCTATATCATAGTACAACCATGTTTTGAGTTGTGGACATTCACACTGATTACAGATTTAAAAAAAATAATGTATTAACGAATTACTTTATCAAATCACTCATTACTTTATCAAATCACTCATGCAATCAAGTCTGAAAGACACTGAGAAAATAAGAGCATTTCTATCTGTAGTCCCCTAAGTAAGCTGTTTTTATGAAGCTGAGATATATTGATTAAACACTTCAAAGAAAGTCAGACAGCTATTTTAAAAAGAAAAACAAATGCATATAAAGTAAGATTACCATTTCCCTGTTAATAAAAAAAAAAAAGTTGTCAGAGGAGTGTAAACAGAAAGTTGTTTACATTCTAGTAGCTTCTAGTTTCTACTCAGAAGAGTAAATTAATGAAAGGGAGATCATTTGTTTCTGGTAGGAGTGCATTCTTGAACTTTGGGTTAAAAAAACTTATATAGAGAGAAGATGAGCTTGTTTCGGGGTAAAAAAAAAAATCAGTCTGTTCAGTTTGTAAGTTTTAAATAGTGTTCATGGTTTACTTTTAAGAATCCATAGTTTATATAGTTTATGTGTTCAATCTTTTTATGGTTTCTAATTGATGGATTAAACATAATCAAAATATTTTATTTCATAAAAATTAATTCTGATATTTCTTTCCCCAAGACAAGTATCTCCCAGCATGCAATAGAAACTTGGGTCATCAGATAGAACTTCTAAAAATACCCAGACATATTCACCAACCAATTCCATTGTCACACAGCCAAAGTTTTTAGTGCTGTTACCAACCTTATTACTTTATGGTCAATATAAATATTACCAAACAGCAATAAAAAAAAAAAAAAAACACTTTTTATTTATCTAAGGGGAAATAACCGCCAATACTGCTATTTACCTGAAAATTATAGGGCTTAGCTTCCTTTCTGTTATATAAAACAAAATTAATTAATTAGTATTCAATGATTAACTAACTGGTAAATTTTTGGATTGATTTGTGTATTGTTATCGACTATGAATAACTATGCAAAATTTCAACTTGATCAGAGAAAGGGAAGCAAGAGAAAAAACATGTTAAATCATAATAAGGGGACTAAATCCATACATATATACACTATATATATATCCACATCTCTCATTAAGTAGCAGTTTTCCACTTATTTCAAAACCAAGCTTGAAAAGTCGTAACCAACAATTAATTAAATAATAGTTTAAATTTTGTTTTGTATTGAGTGCCGTCCTCTCAAATTCAATGAATACTTGTGGGCAAAGTTTGAACTAGATTCAAGAATAGGAGATAACATGTTCGAACTTTTTACCATACAGATAGAGGGAGTTGATCTATATGTACACACAAAAAAAAAAAAAAAAAAGTTTTGGTCAATTGTTTTAATATTTTCTAGTTTTATTCTGCACCTGTTTTCAAATTCCCCATAGATTTTCTGTAAGATTATTAAAAGCACTAAGTTAAATATCAATGAGACTATTCTTCAAAGACTTTATCTTGAAACCTTTGTGACATAGTGGTCCAGTAAAATAAAACATGTTCTAGTGGAGGTTCACATGCTGTGTATTTATTCTGTCATGACATGTATGAATTCTGACAAGCTTTGTCATTGCTCAGGTTATTTATGACAGATGCCAAACGTTAGCAGTAAGTGACTAGCAGTAAGTGACTAGCAGTAAGTGACTAGCAGTAAGTGTCACCAGCAGGTCAACACGTAGGCCTACACAGTGTTTTTTTATATCTACAGACCTTTACTTTAATAAACTCAATTTTCAATTCATTACAACTTTTCTGTTCTATATGTAGCCTTTTTACTATTAAATTTCATCATGTATATGTAATTTCTTTATTCTATTCTATTTTATTGTTTAGTAGATGAATACTAAAGCCTATGAATTCCAGGTAAAATTAGCATTCCTATTTTTTTTTGTAACATAAAAATAGATGTTTGTCATAATTTTTTTTTTTTTATTTTTAGTTCAATATATTAATCTATACATGCATAAACATTATTTCCTTATCTTGTACTGAATGACCTCAAAAGTGCATTCAAGTTTGACTAATACAACTATGGATTCATCAAGCCAAGGTTGATATAAAGTAATACAACTATTTATTTATTATTTGGGTGAGGAATTTTACAACTTGCTTGTGTGCATGGAAGTGTATATAATGGACTCTTGAGATTTCAATACATACTCTCTCTATTTTTGTTTCATTTGGAGGGTAGCTCTACTATGTAACTTGAATTCTTGTCTGTGATAGAAATCTCTTTATGTTTGTTCTCCTGCTAATCCCTTATTAATCCCTGTATTTACTTCTAAAGGACAGAGTTGAGGTTAACCTTTTGTGTAGCCCTGTCCCCGAGCATGTGCCAAGGGAAGACAGAATGTCAGTACTCAGTAGGAACTAGTCCCAGTATTTGACTACACTGAAAAGACCTATCAAAATGGCTATCAATTTAACTGACATGCAAAGAATGCAGCCTAAGATAAATGCCCATTTTAAATACTCCGATATTTTAAAAAAAATTTTCCTATGTCTCCAGAATTGTAAAAAAGACATTTATTTTCTGAATGGAATTTAAATTCAAAATAATTATTTTATTTTCTTCCTTTCCCAATAAGGTTTTTTTTTACCAACATACATCAATGTGAACTTTCTTCACTAATCTAAACTTCACCTCACATTATTTGTGTATCACATTGCTCTACATGTTCCTACAGCATGCCCAGTGCACTGTGGCCCAATCTTTTCTGTGGACATACTGGGGAGGAAAAATAGGCAAGAATGGGAGGGGAAATAGGCAAGAATGGGAGGGGAAATAGGCAAGAAAGTATCTATGCTTCCTATAGTGGCTCAGCAAACACAACTCAATCTTGAGTTTAAAACTCCTCCATCAAACTCCTTTCCGCTTAGTTATGTAGTAAAATGCAATGTATACCAATCAGCCAAAGACTGTATAGATTCAGCCTACTACAAGGTTATTCATAAGAACTATCATCCAACACAATTACAGATAAAGTGATAGAAAATAATCAACAAAATGTGATACTGCTGAGTTTTAATGTGTTCCAGTCTTTGAGAACATTTACAGTAAATAAACACATCAAAGTCATATTTCAGTTTAAAGTTCCCATATTGGTACTTCAAAACAAAAAACAAAGGCTAGCGTAGAATATATTCATAAAGTTGCATACATGGTAGATACAGTAACCTAATTGTTCATGTCTATTTTTCCTTAATAAACAATTTCATACAAATCAAAAATTAAAATCTACTGAATGTTTGTATGTAAAAACAAACAACAACAAAATATCAACCAACAAATATTATGTCATTTGTTGGTGTAAAAAAGATATGTTTTTAAAATGGTTGCTGTTAATGGCATGGATTAGAAAATGGAATGTCACAAGCGCTGCTGGAAATAGGAAAAACTTAATGTATGTCTTTTATGTGAGTGTGTATATATATATATAAATATAAACACATTTAAGGTAAAAGGATTCAAGTTTTCTTTCTGTATGAACCAGCCCACAACATCCAGTGGCATTTAATGCACAATGAGGGTGTTAAAGTAACAAATATCTGTCTAATGATGTATATCAGCTTTCAGTCAATTAAAAAAGAATGTAAAGTTGGGTAATTTAAAAAAACTGTCATAATTTAAAGTTGATTAGGTAAATATAAAACTTACATAGTAAAAAGGCCACTTTTTATAAAGAATCTAGCTATTTTCTGTATATACTGTCTAGATTAAAAAAAAGAAGCCATATCTACAGTTGACTTCTGATAGTCTTGACTATTAGGGGACTTTAGATATGAAAGGTTAGTTGTACTAATAAGAATTTAACAATAAATGTCAAGAAAATTCTATTTATAATCAGTTATTTTTTTACACATTCAAGGGTACATAATAAACAAAAGATGAAAAAGAAAAATCCATTGTCCTAAACAACATGTATCATGATTTCAGTTTGAACATACAGCACTTATTTACAGTTTAAGTCTACCAACATTCTAAAAATATATGATGCTTATATCAGTGCCCCATCAGATTGTTGAGAGTGTAGGACTATAAAGAGTTGGACTATAAAGTGTCAGTCTATCAAGAAAATGTAAAACTAAAGTGTCATTTTGTAAAATTTATTTTTGTAAAAAAGTAGCTAATAAATATCTTTATATAGAACAAAGGACATATATTGCTATTTTTAACCTTAAGGCTATTGCATGGAAATCTAGCTTCAATATAAATTGTCTTAAAAACTAAACTTCATAATTACATTTATTTTCTTTGATAATGTTGACTTCTTTAGTTATTGATGACTGATTTTTCTAATAGACATCTCATATATATCTTAATGACTATTTCCTGTCTCACTTCTGACTCTTAACTGAAACAGGAAAAAAATTTAATTGGTGGGACTAGTGCTTTTGGTTAGAGCATTTGATCATTTGTATTTTATCACTGTTAACTGTGACACTGAGATTCAAGACCCACTGTTAATAAAAATGTCACTAAAGTGATTCAGTCAGGTCTTGTCTAAAAAAAAGGTGATAGGACACAGAAACTAAATTAAATACTCAAGAACTCACTCCAAATGAATGCACTAAGATTTATACTCCATGATATGTTTAAAGTAAAGCCAGCTCTGAGGTGAATAAAAGGGAAAGAAAACCTATATCGTTGTGTGATGACAACATAACACCCTCATTAACAGAGCAAGTAAATAGTTTTTTGTTAAATGTCATTGACATGGCAGGAAATGACATACATAAAATAATGAAAGCTATGCCATTGATTTAGATTGCAAAAGTCTAATGTAAAGAGATTTGATTATTCAGTCACTATATAGGGCCTAGAGTAGAGATCAGTTATAGAATTAGAATATCAAATAAAAGTGATATATAAAGCAGTCACAAACCTTAATAAGGATTCTGTAAAACTAAATATTTTCAATATATTTTCTATTTGCTTAAAGATAGTCTTATACAAGTTATAAAGTATTCTGTATGATACTTTCACTAAATGATTTCTATCCTTGTGTGTTGTGCTGGTCCAAGAATTTAATAAACTCAAAATATAATCCATCCTAGACACATCCATCAAAGTTACCCAAAAACACTTAACTACTTAGTTTCAGTATTGGCAGGCATGTGTCCATGTCTGAGGCGTCTCAGAAGTGCAGTGTCTATCTCACTCTCACAGACACTTAGCTGTTCAAACACATCAGAGAATGCTGACAAGACATCACCCTTCATGGAATGGGAGGTCAGCTCAGCCTCGCTGAATGTTCTTGTGGAAGGACCAGGCGTGGACTCATAGGCACTGTCCACTGGGCTGAGTCGGTCATCATAAAAGACGCTGCTGACTGAGCTGAAGGATTTGGAAGGAAGGTGGTGGTGTGGCCCCAAGCATGTGACGTTGGGGCTGGTCAGCTCTCCCGGGTGTGACTCTGAAAAGCTTGAGTAAGCGCTGTCAGGTCTGGATCTCTCACTGTCCAAGCTGTGGCTCGATGAGGTGGGACTGTTTTCTCGAGGTGGCTGATGCAATTCCTTGCTCAGTACTATTTGATTTTGAAAACTATTGGGTTTGACCAGCTGACCTTTGCTGGAACCCATGTTGTCCATGGTCAACACTTGCTCCTTGCGCCACATTTTCTTGGGGCTCATCTCTGGAGACTGAGCCCCTTCTGAAACACAGCCCAAGGAAGTGAGAAATCTGAGAAGTTTCTTCCCCTTCTTTCTTTTTGTGTGAGACTTCTTCAAGAACCTTTTGAATCTGAATGCATCCATGCTGTCCTCTTCAACCACAATGCAGACATGATTCTGCTTTTTCTCTGAATCATCATTAGTAAATGCTTTGTACAAACTGTCAAACTCTGTTGCATTCGTCAGCAACACCTGATCCAGGTCAGCCAGAGGGGATGTGATGGCAGTGAACTCTTCTAGAATTTTCTCAAACTCTTTGTCTATGCTGGATTTAGTGCCGGTTAATGATGAGGTGGTCAGCGTGTCTTCTTGCGTTTGTTTCACCTCACTCTTATCTGACGGACTTACCAAAATGTCATAATCGAAAAAGGCAGCGCCAGATGTCTTTACCTGGGCAGTGCCAGTACTAGTGTATACTGAACCGTCACTGAAGTCTGACGGGCTGGGGCTAATACTTGAAGAAATGAAAGAGAGTTCATTGTCAAAGTCGTGAATCCTGGACGATGTTTCACTGGCTAGATCGTCTGCCCAGCTGTGCTGATTAGAAGATGAGCACAAACCAGTGTCATCGGAGATGTCTCTGTTAAACTGTTCAAGCGAGTCTGACAGTATATCCAATGGTGACCTACCGGAAGTCACTGAACTCACTGCCGGAAAGGGGCCGCAGAAAGATATTTCTGTGGGTTGAGATGTGTACGTCTCAGACAAGTCTCCCAAGCTGATGGTATCCAAATGATCTAGATGTGACTTCTTTGAGTGGTCAGTTTCTGACAAGGACACATCTCTATCCAAGTCAAGTCTTTCTTCGCTGTTTGATAGGTTGCTACTAGGGGAAAGAGGTCTAGAAGAGTTACTGGATGTATTATCCTCTTCAGAAGCGACCATGCCGAACAGTCGTTTGGGAGATGACCTGGGTGATTGGGCATCTATCAAACTTTCCGTCTCCTCCTGCAGCGTCCAAAGGCTACTAGATTTAATGTGATTAGACTTGAGCAAGGAGGCGGGAAAGTGACGGCGATAGGTGTAAGTGCGTGATTCCTCAATAACGCCGTCGTCGTTGTCGTAATGTTCACGTTGACAGGGCTCCTCGCTTACGTCCTCGGGTTCTGGGTCGTGCACGCTGATGCTGTAAGAGTAGTAAGTACCTGAGTCGTCCATGACCTCTAGCGGTAAGCTTGGCTCTTCGTTGGTGATCTCTTGAGGGACACTCGTAGCTAATGCGAAGTCCCTAAAGCCCTCCTTCAATGTCTCAGTATCATCCTCCAATGACGAAATACGAAATAACTGTTGGTGCAGATTATCCAGCACGTTATTATTTGAGACCGCATAGTTCACCTCACTCGTGATCACATTCTCATTACCACTCAACGCTAACGAATGATCCGAAGGCACGGCGCTTTGACTGGCACACGTGTTCCCCCCAGCGGTAATAACTGACACACCTGGGGAGGGTGAAGATGTATCGCCCCTCGAGCGGGGGGACCTCTCCGTGTCAAGCAGCCCGTCACCGCCAGGTTGAAGCGTGCTGTCGCACAGCCCCTTGTCGCCGGGGTTAGTTGTAGTCCCCCGCGCGCTCTCGTCCCCGCCTCGTGTCGAGCACGCCATGTGTGTTTCACTCCGTTTTGGGGACTCGTCCATCAATCGACCAGTTTGAGTAACATCGGTGCTTATCACGTGACAAGATACGGTGGCACCTAACACACTTATTTGTTCAACTACAGTCTCCGCCTTTGTAATCTCTACAACAGAAACGTCTTGTACTGTCAGGGGAAAAGATTCAAACACTCCACAATCCTGTCTGTCAACTGTGTTGCTGCAACGATCTACTTGACTCAAACTGAACTCACGACGTGCGTCGCTGCCGTCTTTTATTGATTCGTCCTCGACAACTGGCATGGAGTAGCGGCACTCATTTTCACCGATGCCTCCCTGTTGCCCTTTAGTGGTATCGAGTTCAGTCAACTTTCCTTTCTTTAACAGAGAATCGGTTGCGCTCACATCGCAAGTCGCGATACCGTCCAATAATTTTAATTGTGGCCCAGCGTCGATGTTCAAACGTTGACCACTGTGAATTTCCGTGAAACTATTCTTAGGCTTATATACACTGTTGTCATCTAACAAGTTTTGAGATAAAGATGAGTAATCATTGTTAGTGACCGAATCGAATCTAGTTTTCTGACTATTTTTATCTTCAAGGTTTGGGAAATTTATAAACGCCACTGGGACTTCCCCGCTATTACAATCAGCGGTGGGGTGGGCAAGGTTGGTAGTTTCTGAGCCAGCCTTGAAAACACTGCTTGCTAAACAAGGATCTGGCGTTTCTTTGTCCTCGCGAATTAACATGTGATCGATGGCGCCATCAACGGGTTGCCTCATCGTGAGTACGCGGCCAGCGCTCATTGGTGAATCCCAACTGTTGAAAAATTCAGCACGTGACCAGTCTCCGATTTCCGAGGTGACATCATCGCACGCGCTCGCGTCATCCTGACCGTTGGGTATTTCACGCTGCTCGGCTTTGAGCCCAGAATTTTCCAGTTCTGTTTTTAGAAAATGACGTGAGATGCGATTTTGTGAAACGTTGGTCTGTGAGCACGTGACTTGTGACAACTCCAGTGGTGTAAAAATGTCTTCATTAGTATTAGAAATACCATTTGTATTAAATATAATATCGTTAAATAAATGTATATCTTTATTTGAGGGACAAATTGTATAATCAGTGCCTGCTTCAACATGGTAGGCGCCTCCTCCGCAAGACTTGCTATCTTGCACATCCG